CCCCATACACCTCATTAATGAATGTCCCACGTAAGATTTTGTGAGAAAAAACTAAAAAATCATTCATAAATACTGAATAAGTACAAAAAAATGACTTATTTTGCCAAAAAAAAAAGGACTAAATGTGTACAAAAATATTAAGGACTAAATGTGTACAAAGTGAGAAATATATTACCCTATTAAGTCATTTTTACCGGGTAACCTGGAGTAGCCGGTCATAAGGACTGAATGTATACAGTTTAACAAGTTGAAGAGGTAAATATGGACGAAAAAAAAACTCAGTGACCAAATGTGTACAAATCGAAAAATATATTACCCTTTTAAGTCATTATCCCTATTTAAGGAGGATGAATATAATGATGTGGAGATAAACTATGTCGGAGGGGGTATGGGTTTGGATTTTAATTCAAATGTAGGTGTAATAAGTTCAAGCAACATGAGCCATTTAAAAGTATATTCAAGACATTTCATGTAGTGGTAAAAAATTTACTGTTCAAGACCATATGGTGTGGATTGAAATTGAAGGATTACCCTTGTATGTGTGGTTTTCTAATAATGCATTCAAAACCATAATTAGTTAATGGGTTAAGGCGACGTTTCTTGATGATGATAATGATGAGAACATTAGCATTGGAAGGGTATGCATTATAACTAATGTATCAATCATTATACAAGAAAAAGCCATGGTAGTTATTGAAGGAAATACGCTTGATATAAGTTTTTTTTGAACGGAAAATACAAATATATACTAAACTACTTCTAAATTATTCCACTTATGTCCACAGTGGGACTTGAACCCTCGACTTCAAAGAGGAATGACAACACCTGATACCGTTGGGCTTGATATAAGTTTTTTTTTAGAACGACAAATCTACTCTACTTCTAAACTACTCCTAATTCCACCTATGTCTCCAATGAGACTTGAACCCTCAACCTCTAAGAGGGAGGACAACACCCGGTACCGCTAGGCTAGTATAAAGGAGATATCGTGGGTGGAGTCCAATGATATTAAAGGGTGATAACGTTGAAAGTGGTGATGAAAAGAGTATGAAAATGAAGCAAAAGAATATGAAGATGAGAAGTAGTATACTCAAAGTTATGATGAGGTAGAGATTGTTTTTTGAAGAGAGTCCAGCAAAATAAGTCGAACAAGTTGATCTTAATAAATAATATGATGGTACAACTACAGGTCAAGATCGCATGAATGATGAGGTTGAAATAGCGGGAAAAATCGGGGATATTGTTAAAAAACGTTCTTACCGGAGAGTCTTCTATGGATATGTGGCAGCCTAAAAAAGATGTCGATGAGGGGTAAAGTTTACTATTGATGTTGCATCTTGTTAGACAAGCTAAAGGTAGTTAGAGTTGGCTACCTTCATGAGTAAAATAGTCTTTATTTATAAAAAATAGTTATAGATGTTTTGGTAGTTAGAGATAGTTAGTTGTGTAATCTCTTTCTGTATATATTGTTTTGTAGCTTTTCTCTATGATTTAATGATAACATAATTTAGTTGAATCTCTCAAACTTTTCTCTCTCTCTCTCTCTCTCTCTCTATATATATATATATATATATATATATATATATATATATATATATATA